GTGCTGAAAGCCCTAAAAAGAAAAGGAGACGACGTATTTGGACAAAGACATGGCTGAGCTAACGTTGCTACTACGGTCTGTCAGTTTGACAGGAAGAACTCCATTTCACTCATTGCCCCCCCACCATGCTGCTGGGTTTACATCTGAGAGGAAGAAGAAGAATCCTTGTTTGCCCAATGAGCGATTTATCTACGACCACCTTACGACGGCCAACTGAATTTCAAACAGGTTTGATTTTCTCCGACCTTCTGATTCCTGATGGGGGGGGGGTGGTCGTTAGAGGCTGATCGCCCCTCGTTCCCCTCTGTTCACTACACCACGCACCATCAGGATGAAAGTCGGCAAGATCGAAGAATTCTCGCACAATGGGAAAATCGGCCCGAAAAGGGTAAAAAAACAATAATCCAGCGTACGTCCGATGTTCTGTTAATCAGCATATCTATAGTCAATACGCAGCACAAGGCGTCAGATTTGCATTTATCCCTTTATTTTTGTAAAAAAAATAGACCTGAGATGACATGATGTGAATTGGCGCTATAGAAATAAACTGAATAGAATTTAGTTAAAGACTAAATACTTATTTTTCATCATAATTTACAAATCAATTTAAAAAACGCTACAATTTGATTTCCTTGATTTTTTTTCCTCATTTTAACTCATCGTTGAAGAGTAAGGAAATCTACACTAGAAAAACAATCTAGAAATAAGTAAAAAATGTCTTAAATCGCATTTATTTACCCTTAATTTCAGTAGGTAAATTAGATGCTTTGATTAGATGTATTTTTACTCATTTATTTAGATAAAATGCACTTGAAATAAGACAATGCAGTTGTGATTTATTATTTTAAATGTGAATCGACTTGTTGCTTTGGCAAAATGTCTCTTTTACCTCCTCCATCCAAGAATAAATGCACTTATTTTAAGAAAAAATGACTTAACTAGATTTGGATTTTTTTCCAGTGTAGGGAAAATCTTGGCGATTGCGCCGATTTCGAGGCCAGGCCACACCCCTTTAAAATGCTCAAAAACTCAAA